TTTTTTTTTTTTTTTTTTTTTTTTTTTTTTTTTTTTTTTGTTCTTAAGGTGTTGGTGCCAAGATTCACAGTTGCCCTCCTCAATTTTGACTAACCTTTCCGGTTTGTGGCCGAACCTGGGTGCTCTTGGAGCTTTTTTTTTTAATGTGTGTGTGTGTGTGTGTGTGTGTGTGCTTCTCCTAAACTTGTCCTCCCCAGGAGGCCATAATTTTCTCTCCTTTTCCTTCTGCTTTTTTTAGATTTCTAGTGTAAACAGTGTGCCTGAGAGTGTATTGGTCGCTTTAAAGAACTTCATTTGCATATCTCATCCTCATCTCTGCGGTTGTCCTAACTTGTTGCTTAAAAAAAAAAAAAAAAAAATGTACCTCACAGTGTTTTTCAGATCTATGTCTTTCCCTACTACTGCATTCTTTAAAATGTAACACTTAGCTCTTGCTTGATAAACTGCTTTCAGGCAGGACCAATAAGCTCAGTGCTTAAAAGACGCAGTTTTTATTTTAGGTGAGAGGTCACAGTGTTTATTTTCACGTGGACTGTGTTTAGTCACTTATCTAAAGAAGGTCATACCGTGTAATAATGACCAGTGATGTAACTGGGGATCTTTCTCCTGATCACAAAAGTATTTATTGCCACAAAAGGTGCATTCTCTAACCCAAACTTTCCTATATTCGCCCAATGGGAGGTATTTTAAGAATGATGACATCTTTTCCTTTGTAATAGCAAGTCAGGTGTGTTTCCAGTGACCCAAATTTAGTTTAACTCCAGCACTACGGGCCGCCGCGTGTTTCAGAAGTCCCAAGTATCCGTGGCTCTGACTTGTTCCGAAAGCCCTTACTCAGTTGCTAGTGGCTGTCACTCCTGGCAGTTTAGAGACCACATACCATGGAGAATGAGTGTTGGGGAGAGCGTCACCAGGCTACTCGCCCTGCTTGCCCTCCTACCCAGGCACTCGGTGGGGCTCTTCCCTCCAGCCACGTCCCGCTGCGTGCCCACCTCCAGTGCACCTGCATGCCCCCGCCCTAGTCCCTACTGGGCGGCACAGGGTCCCCGAGTCGCCCCTCCTCCCCCCACCCCCCGGCTGCCCGCACGCACCTGCCCGGGGCGCCCCCCGCGTCCTCCCCGCGCCCCCGGCCGCCGGGCATTGTGTACACTCGGCCGGCCGCCCGCCTCTCTCGCTCGCGGCTCATTACGGATGCTCGCGCGCCCGGCCGCCAGCGCGCGCCCCACTCAGCTCTTCCCGGGCCGCCGCCGCCCCCGCCCCTCCCCCGATCCCGGCCCTCCAGCCCGGGTTTTGAGCCCGGTCCCTCCCGGCCCTCCCGCACCCTGCCCCCGCCGCCCGCGCTCCCCCTCCCGCGCCCGGGACGCGGCGGCCCCGCCGGGGTAGCAGGCTGCGGGCGGCCGGGAGGAGGCTGCGCTGCCAGCCGGTGCCTCGCATTAAAATGAGGAGGAGGAAGAAGCGGCAGCCACAGCGGCGGCGGCGGCAGCAGCGGCGGCGGCGAGGGCTGCAGCCCGGGAGGACGCGCGGAGCCCAGCGCGGCGCGGCGGCGGCCACCGCGGCCGGGATGAGTCAACTCCTGGTTTAATGGGGGCAGAGCGGCCGCGGGGGGACACGAACGAGCGAGCGACGGGCCGCCGTCCGGGGAGCTGCGCTCACACGCGCGCGCAGACCCCCGCGCGCCTCTCCCGGGCCGCCGGCGACTCCGGCCTCGCCGCCCGCGTGGGGACCCCGCCTGCAGCCGGGCACCCACCGCCCTCCGCGCAACTCCGCATCAGTTTTGGGGGGCCTCCGGGCGGCGGCCGAGCCCCCCAAGTCCCACTGCCATTGTCGACCGCCTTGTTTACCTCCGGCTCGGGCTGAGTGAGAGCTTGGCGACTTTTGGGGGGGGGGGGCGGGGAGCGAGGGGCCGCCGAGGAGGCGGCGGCGGCGGCGGGGTTGCCCTCGGATCTCCCCCTCCCCCCTGCTCCTCCCTCCCCGTCTCTGCTCCCGGGCGCTCCGGGTCCCCACGTCCATGGGCAGGGAGAGGGTCCCCCGGGTTGTTGTCCGTGACGCCGGCCTCCCAAGTGGCCTCCTAGTGCCTTCCCGGGGCTCTTGGCACGACCCTCTACCCCTCACCCTCCCAGGCCCCTGCTAGATACCCTCAGTGGGGGTGCGAGGCGGTGGGGAAAAAGTTTAAGGTTTGTTAATCGCAGTCGCGATTGTTGGGGAGGGGGAGGGGGTGGCTGGGAAGAAAGCGAGGTGGCCTCTCCATGACGCTCCCGGGTCTCCCGAGTCTGGCGAGGTGACACCAAGCTCACTTTACGCGCTCACCCGGGAGCTCAGCGGGAGGAGGGGGCGAGGGTACCCCCCCTTTTGATCCCTCTCCCCACCCTTTCTGGGGTCCTTGTCCGCAGTGATTTTTCTCCCCTTTTTATTTAAAGAGTCCTCTGTCACCAGTGTACAGCTCGTAACGGGTTCCGCTTTGTTTTTACGACTCCCCCCAACCCCCCAACGAATTACTTGTCAGATCAATTTTACCTTTTCTCTCCTCCCTACTTCCCACTCTCCCCTCCTCCCCTCCCAAACCCCGTTCTCGGAGGTTAGACATTTTACAAGCTAGCTATGCTGTTTTTCGAATTGTGACTTTTTTTTTTTACCCCCTCCTCCCATATCTACTCTTCTAGACGTTTATTTTTGCCCTTCCCCCGCTTAGCGGGGCGGGGGTAAGGAAAGAGAAAAATAATACAATTTCAGGGGAAGTCGCCTTCAGGTCTGCTGCTTTTTTTTTTTTTTTTTTTTTTTAAATAATAATCATAATAATAAAAAGGACATAGAAAACACCAGTATTGAACTTCACTTCAAGAACCCGGGCTGCAAAGGAAATCTCCTTTGTTTTGTTATTTATATGCTGTCAAGTTTTGAAGTGGTGAGTTTCAGGTTGGTTTTGCTAATTTCACTCAGTAAAACTGCAGCTTTGCTGTTGCTAGATAGTAGTTTGTTTCTTTGTCTCTTTAAAAGGTCACAGTGAAAGCTTGGCCTGGATCGTGCCGGCCATATGGAATGGATAAGGACATGGGCTCTTCAAATGTGCTTCTGGGGTTCTGTTGGGGAAGGAAAGGACCCTAAGAGAAACTCTTGAAAAGGATCCCACGATGGAAAAAAAAAAAAAAAAAAAAAACAGAAAAAGAAAGAAAAAAATATACTTTCTTGAAATCAGAATTTCGTGCTTTTATTTCCTGCCTTTTGAAGGAAATAATTACTGAGATGGAGTTCACCACACCAGCTCGGTCTAGGAGGGATCCTCTGTGGTCTTGTTTTATGGACAGGGAAATGAGTTTTGGGGAAAGTAGCCTGCTTTCTGTGTGCTATCCATACACTGCTCGAAAATGGGTTTCAAAATTGTAGCTCAAACTCCTGAGCTGGGCTTTGGTGAGACCACAGTTAGTGGCAGCTGTTGTCAGTCTGGGCAGGCCTGTTGGCAGGGACTGGATTCAGCTCCAGTCTGAGGTTTGATGAACTTTCGCCTTGGCGTGGAGTTTAAAAGAGTATTAAATTGAGTGTTTTATGTGCATGTAATTTTGCTTTATAATGCAAACCTTTTAGAGAATGACTTAGACTCTAGTAGACGCTTTAGGTGGGTTTTCAAAAAGCAGTTTTTCATGACCTATGTGATGTTTTGACTGTCAATACATTAACTAAATTGAAGCCCACCCCTTTCTTTTGCAGCCCATAGTGCTGCTGAGCCTCATGATTACCTAGTATGTTCTGTGGTATTAACTTTGATGCTGTTGTGAATTCCTCTCCTCCCTTTTTTCTCATAAGTTGCCCCAAGGGTTAAGTTTTTACTGTTCAGTTCATATGTTTTAAAACTTGTCTTCTGCTTTAGGGTAAGGCAACCAATTTTGGAAAAATCAGCTTTGCATTATGATCCACATGAAACATAGAGAGTGATTTGAATAAGTTACTAATCGTCGCTCGGATTTTGGCTTTAGACTGCAGCTTAGCATCATGGAAAAGAGTGATCTTGATAAAAAGTAGTATAAAAAGATGCATTTATTGTTAATGAACCTCAAAACCAAAAACAGATGAGACCTCAATCAAGGGCAAACCTTTAGTTCGCAGCATACCACCCTCAGGTGCAAAAATAAACACCTATGATTATTTCTCTAACTTTGTAGTTCTTGGATTGGCATTCTTAAGGTTGCTTTAAGTCCCAGATCACATGCCCATCCCATTTCTTGATTATATAGGACGAAGAAAGATGGACTTAAGGAGAGAAAAATGTTTATAGAAAAGCCATGCTAACACAAACTGGTTCTCAGCTGATCCAGAGCCAAAGAGTTTGAGAGTATAGTAATTATTTTTAAAAGTATATAAGGTATTTCAAAATACTAGCCATCTGGAAAAAGTGATGTCATATTCTCTCTTGCTTTCCTAAATATCCTCAATACTTGAAGGCCAGTGAAAGTTCATAACATAGTTCTACTTATCTGTTCTGTTTAACTAGCCCTATTTAAAACTATAATTTAGAAGTAACTTCAGTATATTGTACCACTTGTTTTATTATAAGCAGTGTTCAAAATTGAAGTCTAATATTTAATACAACTAAAAATTAACAATTTTCTGAAGTTATTATGATGCTAACTCCCTGGCATACTGATTAATTTTTAATACTAGAGACCGTGTTTGTCAGTACTGTTGGGATTTATTTTTTTTTTTTTAAATTTGAGCTTCATATACATTTTGTATCTCAGAAAATATTTTCAGGCTTTTGCTATTTAAGTTATTAACAGCACACAGCAAGCAGTGCACACCTAAATATTGACTCCAAAAGACAAGTTGTCCTGCTAAAAGACACAGGACGTTTGAGGAAGCGCTTCACATCTTCCTGTGTGCTTAGGGCTGAAATGATCCAGTCACATGCCTGACCAGAGGCTTGAGATCTTTAACAGCACAGAACTCTTGAAACTCAGATAGTTGAAAACTTCTCGCTGCCTTAGCTCATAAAGCAAGAGGCAAGTTAAGAAGCATGTGGGTGTTTGTGGTGCTCTGCTGAGGTTTTTATTTGTAAAATAGGTTGCAGTTGTATGGTAGAGTGTGAAGGTCCTAGTTAGCTCAGTGCTTTACACTGATAATCTTTCCATCCTTCATTAAAAGTATTACAGTCATAGTCTGTCATGAATTTTTAATTTTAAAAATTGAGAGTGTATGAGTATAATTTGTTATTTTCTTTTTATCTTGTCATTATTCTTGTTCTGAAAGTAAGCCTATTTCCTTGTAGTTTTACATAAGAGATTACTTTTTCACTCGTGTATGTTGGTACAGACTCCACTATATTTTGTTGATTTACATAAAAGCACAGTCTTGCAGATCATTACGTAGCTGCACAAATGTGTTTGTGGAGGGAAGTGTCGAGGGATAAGACGTGTTTGGGGCAGGCATAGCCGCAGACCTCCACCCACTGATAACGTCTTCTCTTCCAGTTCTGGCAGGTGATCTGTAAGACAGTGACTGAGTATGGACCATTTGAACGAGGCAACTCAGGGGAAAGAGCATTCAGAAATGTCTAACAATGTGAGCGACCCGAAGGGTCCACCAGCCAAGCTTGCCCGCCTGGAGCAGAACGGGAGCCCGCTAGGAAGAGGAAGGCTTGGGAGCACAGGTGCAAAGATGCAGGGCGTGCCTTTAAAACACTCGGGCCATCTGATGAAAACCAACCTTAGGAAAGGTAAATACTTGCCAGCCAGATCCTGGAAAGCTGCTTGATGTCTGCCCAAGGCCACCCTGTGTGGAGGTGGAGGGCTGGAGCGTGCTGTGTATATTCTTTTTCTAGAACTGTTTCGAATTTGGAATGGAGTGACGTTCTGGGCTGTAGTGTCAATCATGTTTGGAGAGCATGAGTGCCGTTTGACTGGAAACATTGGGATATTTGGATAGTAAGTTAAGCAGCGTGGTCTTCATTTACACAAGGTCCATCCGTAGATACTGTTGCTCCTCAGGATGTGTGTGGCTGCTGTTTGAACTAACCCTGATTAAGAGTAAGACACTGAGGTTGTTCGAGAATCACCATAGCTTTTTCCTGAGATTACTAACTGTAAGGGAATTTCAGGACATGGACCTGGCATATGAGAGCAAAGATTTGTGATGCAATTTATTTGTGGTTTATTTTCTGAAGAGCAAAGTAATTATTTAACAGTGAAAAACATGCTGATTCTGGTTTTTGATTTTTGCTATACTTGTGTATTTTTGGTAAAGGAAAGGAAGATTTAGGCAACTTTATAAGAGAAAAAATATAAGCAAGTGCTTTTTCTAACAGCATTAACATTGAAGTTTCAACAACTTTGCCTGGGTTGGACAATATTGTCTTCACAGGGCAGTTCTTATGTGGGGTATCCTGTATGCCTCACAGGGGTCTTTATTTTGTCATTGAATAACATATAGGAGTCAGATTTTTTTCTGCATTTGCAAAGCAAAGAATAATAATGCCATCTTTTACCAGCCACGAATATTAAGTAGAGAAAGTTAGGAGGCCGAGGAATTTCATTGTGTTTGATGCATAACATTTATCATACAATCATTTATTTTTTTCCTTGGTTTGGTGAAAACAAAGAATATATTGATCCTGAAATAAACAGACACAGCAGTCCGCATTGTTAGATCTTTATCTATTAAAAATGGAAAAACAGCACTTCAGCAAATTCTTTGGCCTCTACTCATGATTACCCTATTTATTGATTGTTTGCCAAGAATGTATGCATCTTTAAGCCAGGGTAAGAGCATTAAAAATATAATTTATTATGGCTTTTCAAACAGAGTGCATTAATATTGTACTGTGTAGTGCTGAGGCTCTATAAAAAAGACTTTCTGACGCCTGCAAACACACAAGTTCCATAAATTCCTAAATAGGAGATTTCAGCTGTCTCTGGTATTATGTGATATTTGCACAGCAAACTTTAATGCCAGGACAGTTTTAGACAAGGATTCTACAGACTTCACTGCTCCTTATGGCAGCCGTGCTGTTTACACAGGCTCATAAACCTCCAGCAAAAGCCTCTAAGACTGCCTTCAGGTTTAAATCATGTGGTATTTTTAGCTTTCAGCAGTGACCAGTACTCTCCTTTCTAATGCAGAAAGGCTATGAAGTTGCTGTAGTTAGAAGTCTGGCCAAACACCAGCTCCAGTAATCAGGCAGCCTAGCGAAGGCTCCTGTTTAACATTACTCCCACTAACAGGAGGGCAACCGTGACAGTTCTCGAGACGATCTAGCACTGGATTTGTAATTAGATGATCCTGTTGCTATCATATCCGTAGCCACCTTTATTATCTATAAGGCACCTTTAAATTTGATCAATTAAACACAGAGTCAATCCAGGCTGTTTCAGTGGTTTGAAAAGGTTTCAGTTATTTCGTAGAGCTGAGGTCTGAAAAGCTGCTCCCTGTTTCACACCTCTGTTTGATTCCATGAGAGGAAAACCCAATATACGTGTTTTTGACTTGTTAATGCCACCCCACAGACGTCAGTAGACAAGGGGCTGGAGCGTGGTCATCTTACTCCTGCTCAAATGCCTTAAGATACGTATTGCATTCAAAATTACACATCTTAAAAAACAGCTTAATTCTAGAACGGTTTGTGCTTAATACAAATAGCAAAAAATTCTGAAGCCTTTCAGTAGGATTTTTTTTTTTTTAAATCTTATTTTTCATGTGCATGGTTTCTGTTTGACAGGTGCTAGATAAAAATTGTGGCTAAGCTGAGAAAGCACTAAGAAAAAAGGGTTGGGTGTTTTTATTTGTTTAAGAGATTTTGCCAAAATACCTTCAAGCCAAGGAAGAAATCACCAGTTTGCATATTGCTATTTTTGCTGCGGTCTCCCCAAGTTCTCTTCTGATCCCTGACGGGTTCTCTCTCTGGTATAAAACAGCTGAATGAATGACAAGAATATTGGCAAGCTCTGCGGCTTGTTTTTCTTGCCTAGCCTGCTGGTACTTCCGAATGAGTTTGTGAGCTTTTCTAACTAAACCTAAAGGGGTTTAATTGTCAGAGCTGGAATCTCTTGTGAACAGTTCACAAAGCTTTGGTGAGGACACACATGTGGGAAGATGTAGCTGTTTTATGGCCGGCTTTTGTTCAGCAGAAACAAGCAAATAGAGAATTTGTAAAGGGCCTCTCTGGCAATAGCAAATGCTGATCCTAGGCAGCGGCTGACGCACACTTAACACCTTCAGAAGTTAGGGCTCTGCGAGTCCAGTGTAGGTCTAGGGTATGGAGCCGATGCAGGCAGGGACACTATAGAACTAATTGGGGATCCTGGGTGCCCTGTTAAAGTAACCCTTGTCATCATTTATGCTAAAGATGATACCCTCCTGGCAGTGTGCCACAGCACTGTTCAGATGCATCTGTTTTTAACCCTTTTCTGTAACTGCTGGAAGTCTGACAGTGTCCTGCATTAAAACCTTGAGTGCCACTGCAGGTGGAGTCCAGCTTCTAGACCAACCTTCCCCAACAGTGGCGTGGCCTGTGCCACTGAGTTACTGCACTGGATGAAAGTAAGCCAACAGAGAAGCAGCAGACCCCAAGCAGAGTGCAGGCTTCTCGTGCCTCTCAGTAAGGCCAGTTTTTCTTTCACACTTCGCCATTTTTTTAAAATCATACTTACTGTAGCAGAAATTGTTAATGTTAAGACTTATGGCTACTGTCATGTCTTTTTGCTCAGGTAGACGAAATGGGTAGTCATGGAAGTGTTATTTTTCTGCATTGTATACATTCAGACAGTGTCTATGAGCATCGGTTTGGTTAAGTTTTGTGCTCCTCTCATGGAACCAGTGAGAGGAAACAGTGAAAAGGGGCAGAAGAATAGTAGTGTAGGCAGATAATTTGGATACAAGCAGGTGAAGCCTGCTAATAAGCAAGTGTGCATACAGGAGGAAGGTGTGTTCTGTGAAGACAAGTGCAGTGAGTTCTGACTGCATACTGTGTGTGACTTACAGCACATCACATCAGACACTCATCAGCATTATTATTTGATCAGAAAAGTAATTCCGCGTTCACCGCTTTTGGAAGACGCACTGTTAAAATGAGGAGGGAGCGCAGGTTACTTAGGACCAAGCCCCTGTAAAGGAAATTTAAGTATTTCCTGTGCAACTTTTAAGCAGTAAATGACTGCATGTTTGTCTTTGTGCCCGTGTGTCTGTCCCCAGGCTGCCTGGGAAGCTCTGTGGCTCCTCTCACTGTGGTGAAGATTTGTTTTTATAGCTTAGGTGTTCCTGCCTCCAGACTGTTTCTGAAGATGGTTGGGTTTCTATCTTTTTCTCTGTTGTTTTCCTAGGAACCATGCTACCAGTTTTCTGCGTGGTGGAACATTATGAAAACGCCATTGAATACGATTGCAAGGAGGAGCATGCGGAATTTGTGTTGGTGAGGAAGGATATGCTTTTCAACCAGCTGATAGAGATGGCGTTGCTGTCTCTAGGCTATTCTCACAGCTCTGCTGCCCAGGCCAAAGGTAACTGATGCCCTTGTGGGGCTGGGAAGTTGCTGGTCCTCCTGTTCGCCTCTCAGACAAAGCAGGGAAACATTTTATTCAAAGAGCTGCAGCCTGTGTTTTATGTTGGTTCCTTATAGACTGTGGCTTTAAAAATTGGCTTAATTCAGTTTGGTTTAGTTAACACACATTTTGCTCATGTGGAATGTCGAGGTAAATTTTTTTTTTAAATTACTTCAGCTGAATCATTAGTATGCTTATTGACCTTAATAATCTGCTCCACTGAGGACCCACAAGGAAGTGAGGAGCGTATTTGAGCAGATGGACTGTTGAGAGTCAATTTGCATTTATGACTGAATATCTAGTTCTGTTTCTTTTATTCTGTTTCTGATGGTTTTATGGGCTGTAAAGTATTTTTCAATGCTGATTCCCACTGCAATAGGGAATCTTATCTAAATCATAAAGCCATTTAGAACCGGTTCGGCTATGTCTTATTAGAACTTCCTGTAAGTTAGGACACTGTGGCCTGATGCATAGGTTTTATTGATGGGTATTTATTTCCAATATAATAAACAACCCCTACAGTCATTTACATAATTTCACAATTTGGAAAGCTAAGCTGTGAATATCTTCACTGACCTGCCTTTTTGAGGGAAAGGGAATCATTCAAACAGAAATAACAGTATTGCTTGTGGTGGGGGCTGAGCTCAAGAGCCAGCGCTGAGCATGTCCTCTGTTTATCTGGACCAGGGCTCATCCAGGTTGGGAAGTGGAATCCAGTTCCACTGTCATATGTGACAGACGCCCCTGATGCTACGGTAGCAGATATGCTTCAAGATGTGTACCATGTGGTCACGCTCAAAATTCAGTTACACAGGTGAGTTGAGGCAGCAGTTCTAAGGGAAAATACTCTCTCTGCCTTTGTGGACATAAGGCTTCTCTGGCCAGCTTGCAGTTTTTATTTACACAGCGTTTGAGGCATGCTAATCCAAATTAATTTGGTAACTTTACCCCTTCTGTTATTTTCTCCAACTTCAAAACATGACTTTAAAATCTTCCTCCCCTGAAATTTATGTGTTTTTTTGCATGCTATCAAAAGATAAGACTTTTACTTTTAGTCAATTAAATGATGCATTACAAGAAGGCATTTTACATAAAGTTTACTTAAGAAAAAAATATTTTTGCATATCATGAACAGTGCCATCTGTGTACATTTTGGGAAAGAATGCCTTATTCGCTTTTGCCATGATCTTATTTATTTATATATGTATTTTTGCCATTTTAATTCGTATGAACAGAGTAATGGGAGGAAATCAGTTAATACGTTAATGCTTTTCACGGTGGCTTGTGAGAAAGCAGCACACCTTAAATTGTCTTCCCAAGCGCATCAGAGCAGGAAGGTAGAAGTAACATGAAAAAATAGCCACCACAGGCAGCTGATGTATAATTCATGCATCGATACAGCAGATGTGTTGTATAAAGTAATTAACTAATCGGAACAATCAGGAGACCGAGAGCAATCTCCAGATGCATCTGTTTGATGCGCAAAATGAAATCTGTCTGTCTTAAAGGAATGTTCTGCAGCGGGATGCAATCCTGTAATAATCCCTTTCTAATCTGTGTCTCAAATAGTTGCCCCAAACTAGAAGACTTGCCTCCTGAACAATGGTCGCACACCACAGTAAGGAATGCTCTGAAGGACTTACTGAAAGATATGAATCAGAGTTCGTTGGCCAAGGAGTGCCCCCTTTCACAGGTACTCAGCAAAGCATGTCATAAATAGTAAGACACCATGGGCAGCTACCACTTGAGGTCTGATGGGGATCCCCTGATTGGTTTCAAGCAACTAGTATCTGAAACAAGAATTTGCTAAAAATGCTAAGTGATTTGACCACTGGTGACCTTTGAAAAATCTGCTTGAGTTTTTATGTCTTTTTTCCCTTGGTGGGTTGGGGACTGTGCCCAGGAAAAACAGTCTAGCAGAAGACACCACACTCTGCTGGCTCAGTCTTAGACAACTTCTGAGTACCCCGAGCCCTTTTTAAGGCAGACTCACGGCGGCAGGATCTCCTCAGGTTTGGTTTATGGGGTCACAGTGTCAGTGTTACTGTGCACAGCTTCAGCATGCTGGCTACGTAAAACCATGGTACCATTATAGGGTGCTTACTCTATTGTAAAAAACGGGAAAATGTTTGCTGAAAATAATTGTAAATTATGTATGTATGTTAATTATAAATGTAAGAAATCTCTTGCCTGGAACAAAAGGTCCATAATTACTGCCCATTAGGAATTTACAACCCATTTTGAAGAATTAGTTCACCTTTAAAAATGGACTCTTTTTCTTTTTTTCTTGAAGTGAGACAGATTTATTATTGTTGAATTTCATTTTCTGGGATGAATTTTGGGATGAATTTGACAAGTTTAAAACCAAACATCCTTTCTGATAACACTCAGCTGATAGTCAGCATAGAGTGTGGTCCAGCGTCACTCCTCAGCGTCCTCACCTCCGTTGACGTCATTCCAAGATACAGTAATGATTGGAGTGCTTGTTTAAAGTTTTCTTTCAATTCAAGCTTAAAATGTATATTTTAAATATGTATATTTATAAAATGTATATTATGAATATTAGTCTGCCAGTCATTTGAACTTGTATTACTCCGCATAAGCATTTCTGGAGTGAGTAGTGTTTCAGAGCTTGTTTTTATAACACCGAGGAGGTGTTCCTTCCATGTATTTTTAGTGCAAGGCTCCTGAGGATTCCTGGGCACCTTAAGAGGAGGCCTGTGGGCTGTATGTTGCTGTTTCCCAGCAGTCCGTGCATTCAGCCTTGATCCATTATAGGCCTGCTGCCCTGCTTTGATGTTAGTTAGCAATTCTAAGAAAGGAGCAATTCTAGATTAAGTTGTAGCCACAGATTATATATTCTCTGTTATTAAATGTTCATTTTCTTTTGTTTGAGAGCAAACTTTTTTTTAAAAAAAAAAAAGTCAATTCATTTATCAGCAACTATCTTGTTCTCACCCTTGAAATAGAGAGGATGTGAATTTATAGCCAGAAAAATAAAAGTAATTTAAATGAATTTACAACAGTTAAGTTAGTCTGATGGCATAATGAAGCAAAGCGACTTACTTCTGGGAATGTGTTGTGAAGACACTCCAGAGAGCATGTTGCTTGCTTATTAGCAGTTGAAAATTGGAAGACTGACCTAGAATGAACCATTTTGTTGTTGTTGTTACTCAGAATTCTCAATACCCTATGTAGCAATATCCTGTATCATCATGTGATCCAGTGTCCTATTGATTTTGGAAGTCAGCTCAGGTAAAAACTAGAGGTTTGTTCTTTGAGCTGGAGAAGAGGATCTGGTACAAGTATTTATTGTAGAATCACGTTCAACCAATGAACTCCACCTTCTTGTAGCTTATACATTAATTATGGGTTTGCTTAATGCCACCATGAGAAATGAATTGAGCATAGGCAGTTATCACAGTAAGCAGAACGACAAAAGGAAATCTGAGCCTTGGTCTTGGAGCTGTATACTGGTGAGTTTCTAAAGAGAGGTCTTCAGAAGAGAACATGACCTTGTGTGGCTATGGGACCCATCACCATAGCTAAGTGAGTGACCTAGGCTGAAATTGTAACCCAGGCTACAATGGCAGTCTTCCTTTTTTCAATATCTTTGGAAATAATCATACAAATGTTAGCAGAAGCAACAGATACTTGAAATTAGTATTTTGAAAAGACAACTCCAAATGAAGTTGTTTTATATTCTGCATGAGTCCGTGAATCTGGTATTCAGAATGTTTTCATTATTTGCTACTTCTCATTTGGCTTTTTGGTCAAGTTAGGAAAGATGAATGATAGAGGCTTCCTAAGATCTACACCCAAAATATATACTGAGTTTGACAAAACTCCTCTTTCTCTTGTATTTGGTGATAGAAATACCATGTTGGAAAATGTCTAGCAAATAAATACTGTTCATGTACAAAATGCAGCCTTATACCCAGAGGTGCTTTAAGTCTATTTCTCCCATGCAATTTTTGATTCATTGATGTGAGAACATTTAGCATAATAGGTATATCTCACTGTATGGACCGTAAGGGTTTTGTTGAATATGTTAAAACATTCTAGTAACAAGAGTTACTGGATTAAGTAGTATGTTGAGTTGAAAATCTATTGCTAGTACAGGGTAGGAGGGAACAGAATTGAGGCTTACCAGGAACTTGCCCAGGGTGCTTAGTAAGGCCTGTCCCCAGCACTCACAAGATTAGCTGATACTTGCTAAGCAAATGTGCAGTTGAACCTGTATTCTTAGAATAAGAAGGGATGATCTGTCTCTGCTCCTCCTTTGACAGTGGGGGAGCTCGAAGTCCCTATAGATTAGAGTCAAGATGCTGGTCAATGACTTAATCTGAGTCCCGATTTGTTCTGTCTGTGCTCTTGCCCAATGGTACATTTAAAAATAGGTGTTGATTTTTGCAGTGAGTGCTTAGGTTTTGATGCAACAATGTTTACTCTGATAATATTTCTAAGGGTTTCTCCAGCTGCAGAGAGATTCCATAAGTGGGTATGTGGCTTGATTTACAGCTCATGCTTTTATTTCTGTTAGTACTTTCCTACCATAAATCTGCCCAAGCAGAGTGACACATGTTTATTAAGTTCTCTGTATCACATGCTTGCTTATTTTTGTAAAATGTTCTAGGATGTTAAAAATGCTTAGCTCATTATAGATCTGAGATTGGATGCTTTGTTGATGCCTTTGCGAGTTTCAGTGGATGTGGTTAGCTAGGTCGGTTGTTGCGTTCTGAATGGCAACCACATAGAAGAAAACAGCCTCATTCTGGAACAGAAAAGCCTGTTGTCATTAAACTTTTGAGGGTTATGGATTTAGGATGTAAATTGGGAGTTATAAAAGTAAATATTTTGATTTACAATAAAACATTAGATTTGATGATGCTTGTTTTCCCTAGAGTTTTAGATACTGAATTCAATCAAACATTAGATAAATACATACATTGCTACAAAGACAGGTTATTTTGGTAAAGGTTCCATAAGTAAAAGGTCAATTATTATTTCTGCCTAATTGATGCTTCTTTCTAGAAATGTTGAAATCCTGAGAGATTTTTATTTCAGTCTGCGTCGTGCATGTTTTTTAACCCCCCCTCCTCCATCACACTTGCTGGTGTACAAGGGCACACACACATTGCAGTTTCCATATTTTTAAAGGAATTGGGACCATTTTCTGATTCTTTTTTTTTTTTTTTTTTTTTTGTTTAACAACCTGGAGAAAAGACAGCTCCAAGCCATGTCCTACATAAAGTGAATGAGAATTGTCATTTTTATTTTCAATTCATAAGGACACAGAAATAGGCTTGAACATTCCATTTAGAAAATCAGACTGAGGAAGTGATTTTTCAGCTCGACTCTTCATGACAGCATCTGTCAGGAAGTTTTGGATTTTAAAATTATTATTATCGGTTGCTTGCAAAACACATACTAAAATACTGTCTTTTCCTCCTGACACTTAGTGTGTAAGTAGACTCTTCCTTGAGCCTGAAGAGTCATCTCCACAGTCATTTGAGAAACTTAGTGTTTACTTGATTTTTTTTATCAGTAGTGTAATACTGAACCTAGTGCTAAAATCTAGTATATGAATACAAAAGTGCTGTAAAAAAAAGTACTTTGTTTTTTGTAGTTATGTGGACTGAAATGACATATTTTTTTAAACTTTTAAAATATTAATAGTCGTATTCTTTCCTGAGAATATCATCAGTATTCATATATCACATTTTACATAAGACTATGAAATGTATTCATATATTAATACATTTGTTCATTCCAAAATATATATTAAACTTTTAAAACATATTGACAGGCTGCCGGTGTGTCAGGCATCCTTCTTAGTAGCTGAAATGGTAGTGTGTAGTTAACTCGTGTGGTGCTTTTGATGTGCACAGTGTTTCTTAGGAGGAGAGAATTCCAGCTCCATGTTCAGATGAGGAACCTTGGGCACAGACTCTTTGGATGAGTGCCCATGACAACAATAAACTGCATAGTAATTCCCTACTCAGAGCCCGGGAGCTGAACCTGGGGTCATTTAGTCATTTATCTATCTATCTATCTATCTATCTATCTATCTATCTATCTATCTATCTATCTATCTGTCTGTCTGTCTGTCTGTCTGTCTGTCTGTCATTTACACAGATATACACGACACGTTTCCTTCCTCGGAGTTCTGTAAACATATTGGTGTCCACGCTGTTTATTCTAACTTGGGATAATTGTTTCTCGTGTATTTCACGTCTTTGGTTTTTGTTTGTGCGTTGACTTGTTTTAAAAGAACTGACGTTTCATGTTCCTAATTTAGGGCATGGGGAGTGGATGTGATTATAGTGGAGGCTAGGGATCGGAGCCTCTGCTTGATAAGTCTTATGTTTGAGAGGGTCCAGAGTCACTCACCTCTGGTCACTTACCTTCAGTTCTTCATATCTGCAGGGTCCGGATGTGTGATTGAGCAAGCCCAGAGTTAAAGGTTAGCATTTTTATTGAGTCTAGTGGGCAGTTAAATATCTCAGGTTTGTTTCAAAGTGCAAGCCTTTTGTCATTAGATGGGTCTCCCTTGATGGACAAGGATGTAACTGGCAGTTACCCTGAAGAACAGTTTTGTGCTTGATGTCCTTGCCCCTTCCTAGTGCAGAACTATAAATCTGCAGCCGGACACCACACACCTCTGAGAGGAGCTCCCTAGAGGATTTTTTC